TAACGGAGAGGCAGTGGAGCAGGTGGAGAAGTTCAAGTACCTCGGAACTATATTTACTACTGATGGAAAGCTGGAGGAAGAGATCGACCTGCGAATTGGAGTAGCCAGTGGCGTTCTGCGTGAACTAGGCCGACCCATTGTGACTAAAGCGGAGCTCAGTCTGAAAACTAACCTATCGATCTTTATCCCCATACTTATCTACGGTCATGAATCGTGGACCATCACCGAAAAACTTCGAACCCCGGGACAAACGTCTGAAATGGGCTTTCTTAGACGAGTCGATGGCCTTACGCGTCTCGACATGGTCCGGAGTAGTGACATCCAGAAGAGCCTTGGAATACAGCCTCTGCTTCTCCAGATTGAGAAGTCACAGCTGCGATGGCTTGAGCATGTGTTGCTAATGCCTCCAGAACGGAAGGCTAAGTTCCTCGCAAATCCGACCGGCAAAAGGCCCAGGGGACACAAGATTAACCTGGTGCAAACATATGGAAGGAATCTGTTCGAGACTGCATTTGTCTTTTGCCGAAGCTCAAACTCTGACACAGGATCGGGAGCGTTGGAAGCTCTGTGTGACGTGTCTGCCTCCGCGGCCCGAAAGGAGAAGCGGCGATGGAAGATGAGGATGAAGATATTTCTTGGAATATTTATCATCAGAAAAATGGTAAATAAATGGATAGATGGATGCCTTGTTGCTGACTATTAATAATGAGAAATTAAATTAGACGCAATTTTTCAGTAAGCCGTCACTGGCATTACAATCTTCAAAGTCGAAGGGCAAGCCTGACGTGCTGCCGGTGTAACTGGCTGAACACATGCCGCTGCGCTGATGCTTAAAACGTACTTTTTGCTAGCCCCGAATTGGGCCTGGTAGAAAGTGGAAAGAATTAAAGTATTGGGGCTTGAAAATAAACATACATACTTCGCAGTATCACATTACTGCTGATTTATTAACAGAGCGCTCGTCCGGCATGAGCAGTCTCTCTGGCCGCACTGTGAGAACGCTAAGCAAGCAGTTTAGCAGGTGATTAATATTTCATGCCAAATGCATTGTTCCTAATCCACTTCCCAGATGTGTTCTCTCTCACGTGTTGCCGCGGCCGTCGCTGTGCCATATACGAGTTCCGCACTTATGCGTACTCCAGAACGGGAGGCGCAGTTCTCCCAGAGGTAGAGGAGGCGCGGTTGGTTTCTTGTCGGTGATGGATATGCACAAGATAGAAAAGGTGGCCAAAGGAATGGCGAACATGATCGGCTCGGCGAAGAACATCCAGACGGATCTTGGCGGCTTACAGGAAGACGTCCGTCGCATAGAGTCGTATCTGTTGGCGATGCTGGTGATCATCTACCTGCTTGGTTCGTTTGTCATCCTGTCGTTTGTGTTCCGCACCATGCGCCACTGTGCCAAAAACAAGTACCAACGCGAGACGGACTGCAACGACAAATGCCCCCATGACCGTCGCTCGTTTGAGGTTTAACAAAATGAAGAAACATCGCCAAATCGACTAGCCTGTGCTCGTTCCGAATTTTAGTATTGTTATTTTTGAGGAGCTTCGTCGACAAAAAGATATGATTACTGATATTCAAATTCAAAACTCTCACGAAAGCAGCTTCATCACTGCTGTGTCATTCATTGGTCTGATAAATTTCCAGTTTAATGAAAACTGACTTATTGTTGTGCTGAAATTTCTGCGTTTCTGTCCACTCCCTTGCACCGAGTGCTGTCGAATAAGTATGTTGGACATTGGTTGAATTACTTTCTATTTATCTGTGTAAATCTTGAGTAAATTATATTGCGAAGCTGTCCACGTTTAGCATGAATGTGAATGATCTCTTTAATGGCAACTATTTTTCATCAGAACTCATAAATGTAGCCAGAAAATTAATAATTTAAAGCTAATCAGGGGAAATACAAATATTACAAGCCAAACTGTGCCGCTTCATAATAGTACGCTACCCATTGCATTATTTGCCATATGCTAAAGTTTAATGTTTATTCTTAATAACTATAAGTAAGTAAGCAGAGTGAGTTCATTCCCTTGGACAACAAAGTTATCAGCTCAAATTGGTGGTTCCATGGCAATGGATTAGATGGCAACGTTGCAAATCGAAAAATTCTACATTCTATCAATGAGAACGCTATGACGCCAGGCTTTGCGCAGTGATTTGCCCCTGCTCTTCTGAATCACTGAAAATTGTGGTGATGAAAGGCAAAACTGATCTGCGGTACAGTTCTGTACGTGCGGACATAGCGTTTGCTGTACTTCTGGTTCCAGGACATACTGAATCTGTCTAGGCGATGAACGGTTGAGGTCAGTCACCAAGATTCACCCTCGCCGCATGGCTGCTTCGATGAATACGGAAGTTAGTCGGTCCCAAGTCTCTGTTCGGTCCATATTGCTGATGCGATTCGCGAGCAGAAGTGCACGGCAAAGGATCGTATAGTACTTCCTCAGGAGTACCTCGAAAACCACAAGTCCAGAGTAAGTGATCAGCGACAGTAAGCAGTTGAAAGTAAACAATCGCATCATCTTGCTCGATGGTAGAGCCGAGAGTCTCAGCAGCCCGAGCAGGAAATCCTTGCGCGCTTTCGTTAACACTCGTGGGATGTGGTCGACCCACTCTACCGACTGCTCAAGTACACGCTCAGGTACTTAAGGTACTTAATAGTGCAAACACAGGAAACAGGTTCATTCCAACAGTAATTGGCGGCTATTCGATTACTGATAGTAATCTGGCAGATTTAGTGTTTTTTCAGGAGGCAGGTCAAATGGGCATTCTTCTCCTGGTTGATTCCTAAGCCGCAGTATTGAATCCATTTGGCAGTTTTGTTCAATGCATCTCGCACCCTCGCTGAATCAAGCGTGCTTTGGATGGGCGTGGTTACTTCTATATCGTTTTGACCAATGATTGGTCAATAAATAGGGCCGTAGCTGCCGGGCCACCTGCGTCTACAGTTGTGGCAAGGAGGTCAGTGCAACAGGCGATGGCATCAAGTCCTTTCGTAAAACCGATATACAAATTACCTCCTTCTCTTGTTGACCGTTCCTCAAAAAAATATTTTATTAGGATTTCGAGTCCTTCCGGCAGAGTGGAAGTCACTGCGCTTAATCGATAGTTCTCCGTTTTAGTTAGTAGCAGTTTTTTTGGGACAGAGGTGTTCTCGCTATGCACCTCCGGTCTGGTATGGTTTTGGAGTCTAAGTTGTGTAAGTTCTGAAAAACACCTGATAGCACGAGTTTACGTAGCACAGTGGCTCTTGCAGCTACTCCATCATTAGGATCAGAGGTGCAGTTGAACTTCACAGAAGCCAGACTGCGTTTTACCCCAGCTTCGCTAAAGCCAGTGGGCTGCTCGAACTGGAGACGACTGACTAGTTCGTGATATGATGGCCTAGCCTGTACAAAATCAAGTTCAAACCGCAGCACATTCATGCTTAGAGCATTCATATTTTCCGGCGGCTTGGTTTTTACAGACCTGCATCCATCCAAATGGCAAATAGCTTAACAGAGGTCGTCCTTCGACATTATGCAAACAGTTGATTTTTAAAGTACGAGCTTCGGATGCTCAGGATTTCCTTCCGAATTTGACCTCGAATCAGTTTGTATTGAGTTAAGCCTCCAGGACAGTATGCAGTTCCCTTCTGACGATGCAATCGTTTGATAGCATAATAAGATATGCCAATTTTACGTTCAGTGAACGTTAGATTTTAGGCAGCCTCATTACACCGCATTATTGATGTTTATATGGCCATCATGGCTTGATAACGCCGTCAGCACCGCGCCATAAATTTAATAACATAAGGTGTTAAAATACCCTCCTCCCAATGCATACACGAACGGTATCAAAACGTTTGCTAAGTTCCCTGAGGTGTTCATGATCAGGCGGTCACAACCCATTCGAATTCGACTGAGAGAGGAAGCATTCACCCTGTCCCTACGAGTTTGTTGTGATAATCGCTTTAAAAAATTTGCATAAGCAGATCATCTCTGATTTGTGATATCCGTAGTATTCTCAACTTGTTAGCATTTTTGCTAGGAGGCATTGATTATTGCATCGCAGGAGCAAATAATCATCCTCGAAAGCAGACCAACATTGATCTACTTTGTTCCTCGATGTTGCATGCTGAGCGCTTGGTCAGTCTGCAATGTTTCGGCTCCAAAACGAGAAGCTCATAAGCTGGAGAAAAAGGTCCATACTGAGTCAATCTTCCTATCAGGGCCAACCTCAATTCCGTAATCTTCAAATGTTCCTCTGTGGACACCTGTGACCTGCAATTTACGTCTTCATTGTGAGAATTGAGGTTTATTCAGAAACTCAAAGATGGCTATGGTCAAGCGATGCTGCTGTAACGTGCTCGATAGCGGTTTTAATAATTGACAGAAAATTTTCAAGAATAGGTATAATGGATTTTGCACGAGTATAACCCACGCAGTCCTTGCAAGACGTCATTAGGGATTTGTGTTTTTACGGCATACCCTCGAGCCATCACAAATGAGAAAAACTGCTCAGCTCTGGCAGCAGCTGCTTGTTCTCTTCCAGATCTGCCATCCACTTGCTGCAAGCAACGTTGGGAGGGATTTTTTCCGCACTGGACAAAATCAATTATCAGCTGAACACTCGAACACATGCTTCGGTGCCGTCTGTCGAAATTTGATCCCTGGTGCCGACCGCGCCAGCGCGATGTAACTTTTCCTACTTTTTGTCATCACCAGTAACTCTGGTCGGTTTAACAGCCGACGGATGGGCTTACAAGTCCGACCACTGAAGCAGATGACCACTCCGCGATAAGCAAACTTGTTCTTCATCTGAAACACAACATCGGTACTTGAAAGTACTTCATTGCAACGCACAGAATGAAGCTTGATTTAATTTGCTGGCTTGCCTGCCGCTCGCTGGAAAGCCAGTCTCAGAACCGACGGCGGACAGAAAGGCAGCGGTGCCAGTTCATTTAGGGAACGCCAGTTCTTTCAATAGTAGTGGTATGCGCTGGCACGAGAATTTTGAAGTCTTCATTTTCAGTTTACACCTTGTGCTGATTATC